TTACGGGCCCCTATCTCCAAAATAGGCGGTCTTTCCCGCGTGGTACCCCCGTAAGACCCCGCCAAAGTTTTTTACGGGTAAGCTGATAACTCGCGAACCAGAAAAGCTAGGGAGCTGAAATTTAGTGGAAATGTTCCCCGTCCAAGTAGGTACTAATAAGCTCAAATCCAGCCTTCGGGTAAGTGTGGTGCCCGCGTACGAGCCCCCCAAAATTTTTCCCGCGTAAATGCATAACTCGAGGTTCTGATATGCTAGAAAGCTGAAATTTTAGGGTGATGTTCCCCGTCCAAGCAGGTGCTAATGAGCTCAGATCCAGCCTCCAGGAAGGCGTGATACCCGCGTACGAGCCCCCCAAAATTTTTCCCGCTTAAATTCATAACTCGGAGTTCTGAGATGCTAGAGAGCTGAAATCTTAGGGGGTGTTCCCCGTCCAAGCAGGTGCTAATGAGCTCAAATCCAACTTTCGGATAAGTGTGGTATCTACGTACGAACCCCCCAGAGTTTTTCCCGCGTAAATTCATAACTCGGGGTTCTGAGAGGCTAGAGAGCTGAAATCTTAGGGGGGTGTCCTCTGTCTAAGTGGGTATTAACGAGTTCAAACCGTGCCCGCGGGTAAGCGTGTACCTACGTAGAGGCCCGTGAAAAGTTCCTTCCGGGTAAGTTACATATTCGAGAACGTGAAAAGCTGCTAGAAGACTGGAATTTTGAGGGGATGTTTTCTGACAGTTCTGGCCGCCAGTCTGAAATTCTTCCAGCTAGATGCATTTGCCAAAAAAACCGATGCCGGTAGGGACAAAAATTTGCGGGGAACTCTGCAAAAAACGCATCTTCGCACGGGCAGCCCGTGCGTTGGCCAATTATTTCTAACCGAGGAATAGGAAACAAAGAGCGCGACAGTCCCCTTGCGCGTTCCAGTAGGTGGTTCAGAGCGAAAATATGATCCATCGCGCTGTAGTTCGGATTCCAGTTTGCTCCCTCAGCTGATGCCCATCGAGGAGTCTTATTAGTCGGTTAGTAATACCTTATAACTACTAGAAACCAAGCAGATCGGGTGGTGGTTTATCAGATCTTCTTTATCGCCTTTTTGTGAGCAAAATAGCTTTTGATTTTTTCCAAGTGGTGAGCAACCTTCTTTCGACCAAGTTTCGACCGAACCGTATAGATAAAGCCTTATAAAGTTCGCACCTGCCGATTCTGACAAATCCAATGTTAATATTAGTGCCATCATTACTCTGCGCCTTCCGATCTTCATTAAAGAAGTTGCGTACCCCAATACGCTGATAAGTACAGGTAGGATTTGTTGCTGGTAGCTCGAATTGCAGACGCCGGGTGTTGACACTTGGTGCAAACAGGCCCAGGTGGAATTTTCTCCATGTCTTTTCCATCCCAAAGCTTTCTGTAAAGCCCTTCAACATCATCGTCTTTGGGCGTATTGGGAGCGTGAACTTGAATAATTATAAAGGTTTTGCTGAAATCCAGCTTGAGACGGAGTACTCCAATTTACAACGAGTGATAACGGCGGCTGCTTCTTTCTGACTGCAAACCCGATTCTTTCAACGACCGTCTGCCTTCTTGCACCGCCGAGCGAAAGCCTTTTACTGGGCTTCCGG